CCCCAAAACCCCAAAACCCCAAAACCCCAAAACCCCAAAACCCCACTTAAACTATCCAAAGTTGAAAAAATAAGTTATGAATTTAGAAATTGACTCGAAAGAGCAAACTCAGGCTATCTTTGCGAGCCAGCACATGCCACCAGGATACATTTTGTGACAAAATTTAGGAAGCACAGGCTATGCCTTATCTCATAGTGAAGTAGTTTACCCTCAGTGGTATCCTGGATATTTTGGAATACCTCAATTTTGGATGACCCTTAAACCTATTTTTCCGACTCTCAAAATTGAGGATTTTTGATCGTGTCCAAACGAGTTAGCAAAAGCTCTCAATCAAGAAAATTCATCTAAACCTGAGTTTAATAATGAAATCTTCCAAGGGAACCTCATGCTGAAAACCCTCTCACCAACACAGAAATCTCCAGTATCCAGGAAGAGAATTTCGAAAGAGGAGTTCCAGTTGCCTATAATCATCCAGGATGATATCAAAAAGTAAAATAACTTAAAATATCTTTGCTAAGCAAGTTTAAGCGTCATTTTTACTTGTTTAGCGTCAAAAAATTATTAAAACACTATCTTTTATTCCCTTTCGCTTTTTGAGAGATGCTAATGATGCCTATAGACATAACTTGCTCTCTGATGCAGCACAGGTAATTTCATATTTCTAAAACTAGAGCAAAATAAGTTTACTAATTTTTATCCCAAAATTTTGAAATATTTACTTAACTTAAGTAACTTTCCCTTTTAGAATTGGAAAATAGAGGAGAATTCTCACTATCTCACTCCATTCTGAAACCTTGATAAACAATTCAGAAAGAGCCATAAAGGGAGGAAGAGAAGACTCTTTCTTGAGGCTAAAAATTTCAAGGAGTTTATAGAAACAAAGGTGGTCCCTAACTGGGAGAAATATTTGAGCTCCATCTCTTGAAGAGAACGAAGCCTTGGAATTATTAATAAACAACAATTATTTGCCTGGGTTCAATTTTTTAAAGATATCAAAAAGTTGTACAGGCTTATGTTCAGGCTTCGCTTTCACCGTTGCGATAAGAGAAATGACAATAATCATGACTCTATTGTGGACTCCTTTTTAGGAGAATTAGGTGCTGATTGCTCAGAATACAACCCAGAAGAGGTTTTTGAGTTTTTATACCCAGTACTTAATAAATTACGAAAGACACAAAATACTAAAGCGTTAGACAAGGAGGATAGATATTTTACTATGGTGTTCGACGAAGAATCAAATGAAAATATTTCAAAATTCATCAATAATGGACTTTCCAGACAGCTGATAAAATTCTTCTTAGCCAATTTCGCAAGAGACTACGTTAAAAAGATGCCAGACAATTTCAAGGAGAAGGTTTCAGAGGTGATCTCATATTTAGCAAGTGGTTACTCCATGAACTTACCTTTATCTTAATATGTTTACCAGTCTAACTCTCTCTTAAACTGTTACTAATAAAGAGCTCCCTGACCTTTCACTATAACTAAAAGTTACTAGTGTACTCTCTCAAGCCAGGGCTTACTTAGAACACTTCCACAATATATTTTTGGCGAAAATTATAATTAAGAAACATTTTTTAATGACCCAGTGCAAAATATTTTAATAGTAAATTCTAAACTTAAGCCTTATCATGGACCCCTAAAGTACCATTTCTTCACTGGAAAGTAAAAAAATCCTAAATTCCCACAGATTTTCATAATTTTTAAGAGTTTGGGTATTCCAAAAAACCTGAGAAAATAGGTTTAAGGTCATCGCATTTTTTATGCTTCCAATATCTCTTGTCAATAAAGGGGTTTTGGGGTTTTGGGGTTTTGGGGTTTTGGGG